TTTTTAAGAAAATATTTGTTTCCATCACTTATTATAGGAAATACAATAAGGAAACATTTCCATCACTTGATGTAGGAACATTGGTGTGTAAAAACTACTTAGGAAACACTTGATTCTATCACATAATGAAGAAATAATAGTAAGGAAACACTTATTTCTATATCTATATTAAGGAAACACTTGCTTCCATCACTTGATGAAGAAATAATATTAAGGAAATACTGTTTTCGATATCTATATTAAAGAAACATTTGCTTCCATCACTTAATGAAGAAATAATAGTAAGGAAACACATATTTCTTTATCAACTTAGGAAACACTTGCTTCCATCACTTGATGAAGAAATAATAGTAAGGAAACACTTATTTCTATATATTAAAGAAACATTTGCTTCCAATTCACTTGATGAAGAAATAATAAGGAAACACTTATGTCTATATCTACTTAAGAAACACTTGCTTCCATCATTTGATGAAGAAATAATAGTAAGGAAACACTTTTTTCTATATTATATTAAGGAAACTCTTGCTTCCATCACTTGATGAAGAAATAATAGTAAGGAAACACTTTTTTCTATATTATATTAAGGAAACTCTTGTTCCATCACTTGATAAAGAAATAAAGAAATAATAGTAGAGCAACATTTGCTTCCATCTCTTGATGATGTAATAATAGCAAGGAAACACTTCCATGACTTGATGAAGATATAATAATAAGAAACACTTGCTTCCATGATTTGATGAAGAAATAATAATAATAAGGAAACACTGGTTTCTATGACTTGATAAAGAAAATGATAATAAGGAAACACTTACTTCCATCTCTTGATGAATAAAATAGGAAATAATTGCTTCCATGATTTGATTAAGAAATAATAGAAAACATGTTTTCCATCTCTTGATGTAGGAACAATAGTTAGGAAACACATGCTTCCATGACTTGATGTAGAAACTTCAGTAAGGATACACTTGATGTAGGAACTACAGTTAGGAAACACTGAATATAACTTATTTATTTTACTTGAATAGAACTTAGTTATTTATCTGCATATGAATTAGTTTTTTGCATAAATATCATTTATCAGAATATGACTTAGTTGTTTACTGAACAGAATTTGGTTATTTACCTGAATATGACATATTTATATACCTGAATATGACTTAATTATTTACCTGGATATAACTTAGTTATTTAAATAGAACTTGGTTATTTACTTGAATGGAACTTAGTTATGTACCTGAATATAGCAGTTATTTACCTAATAGAACTTAGTTATTTACTTGAATAGAACTTAGTTATTTACCTAAATAAAGCTTAGTTATTTAACTGAATCAAACTTTGCTATTTTGCTGAATAAAGAAAATATAATTTTGGGGTATTATATATATATATATATATATATATATATATATATATATATATATATATATATATATATATATATATATACAAGAGTTTGTCTTTTAAGGCTAAGACAGTGTTAAATTATTTTGCCAATGGATATTAATGTTAGGCAATAAAAATAAGCATCTTACCAAGAACACAAAATGGCAGCTAACCCAACCATGCCTGGGAATTGAATCTAAACAATGGGTACACTGTAGGATTCCTCCAGGTAAACAAGGTGTGAAAAGTTTTACACTTAATGGCTTATGATGGGGATTGGGATGGGTTTGAAAAGCCTGACACCTATTAGCTTATCTTAGGATGTGTGTTGAATGCTTTATGCTTCTTGTCTTATTTAGGGATGTTACAAGTTAATTTGCCTTTTTCTGCAGCTAGATACAGTAGATGATAAGTCAGGTGTCTTTTATGTTCCCCTGTCTCAGTCAGGTGTCAGTTATCTTCACCTGTCAGTTATATATTGTGGCAAAACCAGTCATATCAAAACTTGGATCCATTTTCTTTAACATCACTTCATTTTTTTACCATGCCATTAGACAGTTTCATAAATTGTATAGAGTCGACTTTCTAAATATAAAAGAAAATACTGTACCAGCATCCAACATAAGTGATAATGTGTTGTTTATAGTATAAAACCATGAAAGCTCATGTTGGCATAAATCAGTTCATTTAAGCATTTTGTATACCTTATGAAAGAGGTATCTAGTTCGGTATTACGAAGGGATTCAAATGTCAAACTTTGCAATCAGAGTAAATGACCAGTTTTAAAAAGCAAAATTATTTATAAAATGTTTGAGATAAAAGTATATCAGATTCATTTCCAACTTTTTATGGAAAAGGCAAATTTATGTACTTTATTTTTTATGTAAGTTTAGTTGTGTAGTAAAATTCACATGTTTGCCAGTTTGAACACTGGATTTACATGGGTGTGGAATACTTATGGATTTAATATATGACATAAAGTAATGCATTTTGGATTATTAGCAATCAAAAAGTCCCAGTAATTGACAGTTTTCAGTGTAATGAATGAGCCTCATGTAGATAATGTATAAGTGAGGAAATTAATTTTTGTGAACACTGGACTGTAAACAAGTAAATAAGTGAATGTCAGTACCATTTTATCACATTATTTCTGGAGTGACCATTTCCATTCAAAAGAAAAGAAAGCATGCAGTCTGACCAATTTCACACAAATACTTTTTATTCATCAGAAAACCAGTCTACTGATCTGTTAATTCTATATACAATCATACTGGAGTACAAGTTGACACAAAAGTTTAATACAATATTTTGCACTTATTCAGCAATGGCAGTGGACTGAGCAATTGGCATTTAGTAGACTACTGATATGGAGAAAATTTGATCAAACTGACATCTAAGAGTACATTTGATAAAATTGCTCATTCATGTAGATTAGTACTAGTTGTTAGCCTTTAAAAACAAGCATGATCAGAAATCATAGTTCTTAAATTTCGTGTAAAAATAACAGATCAATACAAAAACATTTTTGTGTATATTCCTTTGATGTCTTATTCAATTATGTCACTTCAGCTGGCTTTACACTGATTAGTTCATAAACGATTGAAGAAATATTTGTGAAGAAATGTCATGATTGAATCTGAATTTTCAGACTGATTTATTCAGAAGTATTGGTTCTTTAATTTGGTATAAATGGAATAAAATAATCAAAGAAATACAAAATGTTGTATGAGCTATTAATCAATGGCATTCTGGCTAATATGTCATTTTGGGTTAAGATGCAGAGTACTGAATGAACTTGTAAGGCAAGAAAAATATACATATGTTTCTGGTAGCTGTCAGTCTTTTTTCTCATTCCTGACCCTAGCATATTTTTCCTCTATGATTAAAAGAAAAACTTAAAACAAAATTTAAAAATTAAAAAAACAAATTTAAAAAGTATAATTAAATATGTTTTATTAAAAAAGCAACCAGTCTAACCCTAATTTAAAAACCAGTGCAACAGGAAACAATATTTTTGGCTAATATGTAACTTACTCTGTGTGTGTGTCTGTGTGCTATTATCAATATATATCACTCATATATATTTCTCCCTCTGGGATTGTGATGATAATCTTTTCACTTGGGATTAAGATAAATTTGATCTATTGGTTTATGACTATAATTTTAATCCATTCTTCACTGACTGATATTGATCCATCTCACTGGAATTGTAATGTTAAATCATCCCTGTGGAACTTTAATTTTAACTGATCACTTTGCAATGTGCTGTTGATGTATCCCTCTGGAATGGTTATGTCTGTGTAAACCAGGATGCAGTCAAATTAACCACTACAGAGATTAAAAGATTGAAACCAGTCTATGATCATTATGATATTACATCACTATCTTTTGCTCAGTTTAAACAGATAAGAAATCTCACAGACTCTCACAGAGTTCATTTCACTTATACCTGTCATTTAGGTCTCATTGTTTTGCAAGAATGTTTGTAAAACTCAACATAAAAGATTAATAGTAATTTAACAGTTACCGTTCTTTCTAATTTATTTTTGATTAACATTATCGTTATTATTTGAAATTAAATATGGAATTAACTATATGTGTAATTAGGTCTGCTTATTCCCTTATACAGATAGTTTGGTGTTGAACCATAAGGTCATAGGTCAAATATCACAGTCAATCAGACCCAATACAGGTAAATGGATCAGAGTGTCATGAACAGTTAGACATTTATCTCAGTACACACTCAATAAAAAGTCCCCAAGTAAGTCACCATCTATATTATAACACAAGTCCCATGTATATCACCATCTCTCTTATAACACAAGTCCCAAGTATATCAGCATCTCTTTTATAACACAAGTCCCAAATATATCACCATCTCTCTTATAACACTAGTCCCCCAGTACACTTTTTTTTCTCTTATAACACAAATTCCCAGTATACCACTATCTCTCTGAGTGCCACCATCTCTTTGATAACAGTAGTTTCCAGATATATACCATTATCTCTCTTATGATAGATGTTCTTCAGTATATGATCATCTCTCTTCAATACTTGAGTCCTCCAGTATAACACCATCTCTTATAACATGAGTATATTCAGATCCCATCATACTGGTTAAAGTTTTTTGTATGCTTGCTATATGGTTTACTTTACTTAATTATCAGTGTTGGATGCTGTGAATGATTATACTTGCTTGTTTGAACATTAAGATTTCCTCACTTGCAATGCAGGTCCCTTCTAAAACTCCATGATGAACATTGTTATTAAATGGATAACCGCTTAGTATAAAACTGTGTCACATACAATGCAGATTGCTTCTGTGACTCCCATGAAAAACATCTGTGACTCCCAAGAACAGTGACTCCCATGATGTGATGTGATTATGATTTTTAACATAGCTTTCACAATTTTTCAGTCATATCACCATGATGTCTGCAGTGTGGCAGTTTATAGTGTTGTTTAGCACTGAGGCATCATGCCACAGACCTGTAGCATGATGTCCCACCCAGTCACATTATCCTGACACCAGGTCGACCAGTCCTAACACTAACCTCTTAATGCTGAGTGTCAGCTGAGGCAGCTTTTTGTACCATTTTTGTAAGTCTTTGGTATGACTCAACCGGGGATCGAACCTGCAACTTCCAACATCCAAGGCAGTTGCTTTAACCACTAGGCCACTGGAGCAGTTTGACTCCCTTGATGTAATGATCTGTTTGGGCAAGAAAAATAAAACATTAACTTCTTTATTTATGATAAGACTATTCTTGACTATAAGCCTACCCCAGTGTGATAACTTGGGCAAGATTTCAAACCCATTGTTTTATTTATCTGATGATATGAAATCATGCTTTTTTAAAGCCCATCCCACATTAAGACTATGTTTTATAAGTCCATCTTACATTGAAACCATACATGATTGCAAGTCCATTTTAAAAAAAAAAGAAATACATACTTGACTGTATGCCCATCTTTTATTAAGACAATACTTTGTAAGCCCATCTCACATTTATACCCTGTTTGGTTATAAGCTCATTTCACATTAAGACCATATTTGATTATAAGCTCATCCCATGTTGAGACCATGTTTGATTATAAGCCCATCTCACATGAAGACCATTTGATTAAAACACATCTCAGTTAAGACCATGTTTGATTATAAGTCTACCCACTTTTATTGTTCTTTTAAAAACTTTTGAAAGATGTTTGTTGATATCTTTGATGATATATATATATATATATATATATATATATATATATATATATATATATATATATATATATATATATATATATATATATATATATATTCTTGTCTAAGTTGGATCCAACTGCACACTGTATAGAACCAAATCTACATAATGCCTCTGCAAATCAGGGCTTGTGTTGTGTGTTCTAATGATCAGTCCTAACAAGCTACATAGATCAACTGGCATATTATGTGGTGATAGATCTGTGTCTATGCAGTTTTTAGTGGGATTCAGCTTATTTGTATGTACTTTATACTTTTGGATTTTGGAGAGAAAAGCAATTAATGCTGACTGCCTGGGTTTATTATATGAAAAGTACTGTGAAAACCAGAATTGCATTTGACAGCACCAGAAATTAACCCAGGTCTTTGAAATATTATTTGAGACAGTTGTTACCCTATATACTTGCTAATAAGTCAAAATATACTGCAAAAGAACAAAGATCCTGATCTGACATGGCAAAATGTGCCTGCAGATCTGGTTCTATGTTGTTTGTTCTATTGATTACTACTTACAAACTGCATAGACCCAGATTGATCAGTGCATTATACAATGACAGATTTGTTGTGCCATTTGCAGTTGGACTCATCTTACAAGGGAGTATATACAGTATTTGATTGTAATAAATGTCTGTAAAAGTCATGGTTGCTGTTTTTATTAATGGAATGGTGGTCTTACCTGAAGGATCATGACAACTATAAATCACAATATGATAGGCAATATCACCATGCCAATTAATTTTGTTAAGAAATAATTTGTAACCTCAAGCAGTAGCATTATTGACAACTATGTTTAGTACTTCCTGACCATTGCAATAAAGTCTGATTGATCCATGCAGAGTGATATAAGTGTAAATTTCAAGGTAAATTGCCTCTCATTTTTCATAGACTTTTATTCAATTTTGGAGATGTTCCAAACATTATAAATTACAATATTTTGATTGAAATAATTTAATTTCATTTAAATTATAAATATTTGCATACTATTAATGTGTGTGTGTGTGTGTGTGTGTGTGTGTGTGTGAGATTTGGATTTTTAACGTAGCTTTAAAAACATTTTAGTCATATAGCTATGATATCAGCAGTATAGCAAATTATAGTAATGTCTAGCACTGAGGCATCATGGCGCAGACATGTAGCATGATGTCCGACCCAGTCACATCATCCTGACACTAGGCCAACCAGCCTAACACAAACCTCTTAATGCTGAGCACTAAGCAAGTCAGATGTTAGTACCATTTTTAAAGTCTTTGGTTTGATTCAGCTGGGGTTCAAACCTGCAACCTCCAAAATCCTAAGTGGTTGCTTTAACTAGGCTGCAGAAGCAGTCATATACTCATAATAAAAATATAAAGTTCTTCACATAAAAGTAAAAGGACAATCAAATATTCAAATTTTAATAAAATATAAAATATGAAAATGAAAGGATAGTCAATTATTCCAATATTAATGAGTTCACGCTGTATGCACAGAATTGTCAAAAAGAAGTTAATTAATTGGGTAACTAGGAATTTAATTATTCCCAGGTTTGGAATTTATTGGGATTTGCAGAGTCCACTTGGACAGATTCTTGATACAGCATTTCAGCATGCATGCTCATATTTCTTCTCTATCCACATCCTAGATCAACTACAACATAAAGGTTTTATGGGTAATTTTGTCAAGTAAAGTTGACTACAGGGTCATGCTCATTGGTATGTAGACACAACTTTATGTGTACAACACCAATTTATCAAATTTTTAGGTGTGGACTTGGCATGCAGACTTTAGCCAGCTTGTTGTTTGAAATTTAATGGTTTTCACTGGTATGCTTTTTACCATGTATAGTTGGTTATAAACAAAAAATGATGCCAATTTGACACCCAGCATTGTTAGAATCACTCTGGTGGTCTTGATCATTTTTGTTATCTCACCTGAAGAGATGCTTGTATCAGCATAGGGTTCATGATTTCTTGGTGTTCATAATGAAAATGATGCTAACCTGACTATTAGCATTGTTTCCATGGCATCCATCTTGAATATCATATCATTTCTCATCTTGAAGGTATAGTCATATTGACATGGGGATTTTTACTTCAAGACCTCATAGGATATTTTGTTTGATTTAAATGTCTTCCAGTTGAGGATGCCATTGTGGATAACTTGAAAATCTTTTATTTGCTACTTATTCTGAACATATATATGAAAATGTTGCAGATTTGTCAAGCAACATGTCATTGATATTTTGCAGATCAGACTACAAGCATGTTAGCACTATAGTGATCAAGTTGTTATTGTTGTTATTGGGCTTAATGTCATTTTTCAGCACACGATAGGCTATTCATGGCAGCCAGTATTAATGGTGGAGGAAGAAACAAGGAAATCACCAGAAAGAACCACTGACCCACGAGAAGCTACTGGCAAGCTTTCTCACATATCCACATTCCTAGATTTGTGAGTTTGTGAGTTCGAAAAGACAGAGGTGAGATGGCAGTGATTGATTTAGACCAATCTGCCACTCCGGGCCCCTAGTGATCAAGTTGGAAAACATGACTTACTTAACCTTGGTGTAAAGTCAAAGGTCACTGATCATATTTGATAATTTCATTTTTTTGTTTATGTACAAAGAGACTTGTATATATATGGAGATTAATTTTTTTATCAATTTCTTTTCTCTGTTGTTTTTCACTACACAAGGTGGATAGTTAGTACTTGGACATAGATTTAAGAATCACAGATTGTGACTGGTTTTATATGAGATGATGTGAGCATGATAGCAGATATATGTATAATTGAATTTTTATCAAACTGATTCTGAAGAACCTTTGAATGATGCAAGTTAAGTAACTTGGGAGTTTCTTCTAATATAATTTTTTTATGAATTAAACCAGAGTTAGCATGTGGGTTATCTTGAGTCTCTTTACAGTATCTGGGATGATTTTTTTTAACATTAACATCCATGATATCATGTTCAAGGTAAAAAAGCCATAATAAAAATTGTATTTTATACTACTAATCATTTGAAAGCTTAACTGAAATATAAATTAAGAAAGTTTTTTGTTACTATATTTAGTATATTGGAGCATCTAAAAAATATTTTTTAAAATTTCAATACCCAACAATAATATTGACTAAAATGAAGAAGAAATGGACTCTTCATGGTGTCCTTCACTTCATTTTAGGCCACTGGAGAGACTCTTCTTGGAATATTTCACCTTGAATTAGGCATAACATAGCATGCCATGGGGAGAGATTAACATTTAATATTTAGCCATAAAATAGTACAGATACCGAGATGATTCCCTACTTCATAAGATGAAAATGTTGTCTTTATCCTTGTAGCAGTCATTAAGTTACATTGCTATCCTTGTAGCAGTCATTGAGTTACAGTGCTATCCTTGTAGCAGTCATCAAGTTACAGTGCTATCCTTGTACCAGTCAAGTTACAACTAGCTATCCTTGTTGCAGTCATTAAGTTACAGTGCTATCCTTGTACCAGTCAAGTTACAACTTAGCTATCCTTGTTGCAGTCATCAAGTTAGAATGCTAACAGTAACAGCAGTTTAAAAGAAATGACACAAGTCACATTTACACTGAAATCTTAACCATTTCCAAATCTGATAGCTGAATTCTTAAATTTGTGATTGTTCTTGGTCAATTTTAGTTTTTTCAGACTCCAACTACATCAAATTACTGTTGTCTCTATCCCTACTTTTGGTGCCAGATTTTGGTGTCTAAGATTATAGTTTGTTTTTTTTTATTTGACCAGAATATTCAAGTAATTAGGTGCTTACTCGAGATGTCTTAAACTTAAGTTCCCATTTATATTGATATGTAAATTTGGAAGATTTGCTGCTAAGAGAGATTCATGTGGACTGTAAAATCATCAATCACCAACTATAGTGTTCTGTAATGTATATTTTTTATGTTGTGAGAATTGTGTTTGCCACAGAAATGCTACATATAAGGGCAGTAATTAAAGTTTGATTTTGGTTTGGTTTTGTGGGGTTTAATGGGATTTCTCAGCACATGATACATTTGCTATACATGGCAGCCAGTATATTTTGATGGAGTTAGAACCTGGGAAGACACCAGCGAAGCTGACTACCAGTAACAAGCTTTCTTGTATAACTATGCTGGTCAAGATGAGATTGGAACTCATGCAGACAGAGTGATCTGTAAAAATAAGCATTGTAGACAACTTGGCCACCTAGAGCTACTATTTAAAGTTTGAAATAAAACTTTGACATGGAAATTTCAAAACCGTTTCTTAAAGTTAGATAGGGAAGCAAGATGCTTTTCTTTAAAACATGTTGAGCAGATCACAACACATACCAACATACAAGTCTCATTGCTTCAAATATGTCAGTAACCTGTACAGAAAACAATCATGTTAACTAATGAACACATTAAAGAGCCATAAATTTTAGCACACCAGTAATTACTAGAAAAAAATACA